CGATCACCGGTTCCAACTCGTGACAGACCTCTCTAGCAAACCAGCAACAAGGCCACTCTTTCCGCCATTATCACCGGCCATTCTGTGAATACGTCTTAGCAAACGCACTTCGTGTTGCTGCTAACGACGGGTGATTATTCTCCACATCTCGGTTCCGGAATTATTATCGGGTTCCTTTTGGTTAGTGATAGCATATTCATATAATCAACGCTTCGCACGCACGTTTTCTGCTCATCCCCGTATAATACTCTTCGTCGTCTTCTCCAAAGGCTATGCCCCACTCGATCGCCTATCAACTTTCATTCTGATCATTTCCATTAACATTCACCTACCGACGTCCAACATTACAAAACTCGACGCCTGCTCACCAAGCACAGACAATAATCGCACGTTTGCCAACTTCAGCTTCACCAGCAGGAAGAGAAAAGGCGAGACAGAGTCGCCTTGCTTGACGCCGCGGTTGATGAACATATATGACCTAATGTAACTGGGGAACTCAGTTCGCGTTGTAGCGCCGCTGAGCACGCTGTAAACCAACTGCTGGTACAGATATAATTACCGATGCCGCCGCATTTGATCGTATGACGCTCGAGTGTGAAACGGAATCGAAGGCCTTCTGCAGGTCCAATGACGCGAGGGTAAGTTCAGTGCCGGTTTGTTTGGCCTCGGATATGCAACAGATTATGGTTGTAACACTTTGGAAACATCCACTCTTTCCCCGTACAAAGGCTTTCTGGTACCGTATTCAGGATAACCACCTGTTCGAGCCTGCACAGAACCACTCTGGAAAATAGTCTATATACGGTGGATACAATGGCTATGGACCTAGCGACGATGGTAGGTGATGATCACTGCTTCGTTTCAGTACTAGAGCAACAATCCGACAGCGCTCAAATTCTTCAGGCACCATTTCGCGCAGGAGCCACAGGCTAATCGCAGAATGAGCCGCTGGATCCACGCGCTTCAGATCTACCAGCCTTATTCCGTCCGGTCAGGGGGATGTTCATGATTTCATTCGGGCGAGGACGTTGTTATTTCCTCGCTCATAATTGGCGCCAGATAGAGAGGGTGTATTTCTGTAGTTTTCTCACGGACCGCGCGACTGTCATCCGGTAATGGTTAAGTAAATACTGCACGAAAGTAGGAATCGACCTCAACAGGATTCGTATCGGTAGTACTGTACAGCCCGCTGGACTTTATTAAGTCAAGAAGGCACTTGTGGTCCCTCTTACATAGTTGCTGACACCTCTTGAACACAGAGCCTCTTCGTGGACGCCGGTTCCGAGTAGCAACTGGGTCTTACCTGAAGAGGTATGAGGTCGCAGTTCGTCGATACGGAATTTCCGGGTTCTCTTCTCGGGCGTTTCAGATTGTCGATAAGCCACGTCCTAGTTTGTACTGCCTCATCTTAGTAGGCGATGTTTGCACTAATGACAATGGCAATCTCGGGCACGATTCCAGACAGCAACGACTGCATATACTCTTCAATGTCATCTTTCGGTGTTTCCAAAGGGTTGTGCTACCCAGGGTTAGCTTGTTGATTTTCGGCTTCTGCTCGGGACATCTCCCTGAAGCATTTCACTATGGCAGCGTAGATGCTACATGACGCTTGTTTTTTTTGCTCTTGAATATCTCTAGAGAACGTTCAATGCCCGCCGAAGATCGAAGCAACGAGTGAAACTCGATATTGATTGTTCTGGTGGAGGTGGTAAGGATGCCTCCAGCTAAGCTAGCAGCCACACTTCTAGCACTTTCCAGCTAGCAGTCACACTGTTCCTCGAGGCGCGATCTGCATTTATCAGGTTTGTGTGAACTGCATAATAACACGAGCTTGCTTTCTGTGTTAACTGGAGACCCGTTTGAAGGGCAAAGCCAGAAAGGC